TCCAGATCTATCCAGGATAATACAAGAGGTGCTAGTTAACTATTGCTTTTTGTAGTTGGGTAGTACTCCATGGTATACATATACCACATTTTATTAATCCAGGCATGTACTGATGGGCACTTGGGCTGTTTCCACATCTTTGCAATTGTGAATTGTGCTGCCATAAATATTCGAGTGCAGATATCTTTACCACAGAATGTCTTTTTTTCCTTTTGGTAGATGCCTAGTAGTGGGATTGCTGGATCAAATGGTATTTCTACTTTTAGCTCTTTGAGATATCTCCAAATTACTTTTCACAGGGGTTGCACTAATTTGCAGTCCCACCAGCAGTGTAAGAGTGTTCTAGTCTCTCCACATCCACACCAACATTTGTTGTTTTGGGACTTTTTGATAAAGACCATTCTCACCGAAGTTAGGCGATATCTCATTGTGGTTTTGATTTGCATTTCCCTGATGATTAGAGATGTTGAGCACTTTTTTATATGTTTGTAGGCCATTCTTCTGTCTTCTTTTGGAAAGTTTCTGTTCTTGTCCTTTGCCAATTTATTGATGGGATTGTTTGATTTTTTCTTGTTAAATTTCTTAAGTTCTATATAGATTCTTATCAGTCCTTTATAGGATGTGTAGCATGCGGATATTTTCTCCCATTCTGTAGGTGGTCTGTTCGCTCTAATGATAGTCTCCTTGGCTGTGCAGAAGCTTTTTAATTCTCATTTCTAAGAAAACACCAAGGCACAATTTTTAACCAGCACACTGAGAGTCAGGAGGCTTAGATTCTGGCCTTTGAACTGTGATTAACCAGCCGACGGTTCCCCCTTGAAAACTCTTTTTCTTCTCTCTCCTCATCTCTAAAGCAAGAGCTGGACACCCTGGTGTCTGGCATCTCTTCCTGCATCAGAAGTCACTGGTGAGTAGGGTGAAGATGTTAGGAAAGTTAGTTGTGATATCTGGTTCTCTGTCTTATCCCACCCACCTGTATAACATGCTACCTGACACTTCACAGGGAAGAGATCTTAAAATCATACCTGGGGGGTGTGCAGCCTTCTAGGTTGTCTTGATATTTGTGTTGCCTGGGTTTTAGACATTGAGGAAGAATAAAGTTTGGGAAGTAATATATCTCAGATCTTACAGATAACATGATAAAAAGAAAGCAATAGAAAAAATATATATATTTGGGCCAGGCGCAGTGGCTCACGCCTGTAATCCTAGCACTCTGAGAGACCAAGGTGGGAGGATAGCTCGAGGTCAGGAGTTTGAGACCAGCCTGAGCAAAAGCGAGACCCTTTCTCTACTAAAAATAGAAAGAAATTAGCCAGGCATGGTGGTGCATGCCTGTAGTCCCAGCTACTCAGGAGGCTGAGGCAGGAGGATCCCTTGAGCCCAGGAGTTTGAGGTTGCTGTGAGCTGGGCTGATGCCATAGCACTCTAGTTCAGGCAACAGAGCAAGACTCTGTCTCAAAAAATAAAAAAAAAATAAAAAAAATAAAAAAAAAAATATATATATATATATTTGGAAATGGAAGAGGATAAGCACCACAATAGGGTTCTTTAATGAAGGGAATTTGAACAAATTCTGGCACTTTTTTCCAGTAACCAGACAGAAAGATAAAACAGTTTCCTCTTCTTTCAGACAGGTGAGATAATACTGTTTCATAAGGTAAAGTATGAACAGACCAACTATGCTGTCCCAAAAGCAGTTCCATTATTGATCTACCTATCAAGATATATTGATATATTGGATCAAAGTTGAACTGGGCATGGTTTTCACATTATTACTAGAGCCTAGTCAATAGCACACAAGCCTAGAGTGGACAGACGGATTGATAGATGGAGAGAGAGAGAGAGAGATAAATGGAGAGAGAGAGGAAGAAAGAAATGCTGGGACTGTGGCACCCTTGGGGGCAAACCTCAACCAACAGGGACTGGATTCCAAGACTAAATGCTCCAGCCGCCCAGGCCCTACGTGGGGCAGGTCTTCGGTGTGCAAAATATGGTTCATCCAAGGATCCCCTGGCAGGATGGAGATCTAGATACCCTCAGCTTATTAACATGCTTTTTATTGACTTTCCCCTACTCCCCCCCTCATGTGTGCTTACTGCTTTTCAAATAAATTACTTGCACCCAAAAGTCCTTGTCTCAGTGTTGCTTTTTGATGAATCCAAACAAGACACAAATGCTATAAAAATATTACATAGTTAATCTTTGTTGTGGTTAGGGATTTAAAAAGAAAACAGTCATCAGTCTTCAAGTGGCAAAGCCATCTCATACAATAAACACTCGTTATGTTTTTAATTCCTGTTCCTTGTTTTCCCTATCCTTTGTGGGCCTCTGCTCTATGACCATGAGTTGGTTAGAACCCTTCCCTTCCCCAGGACATTCTCTTATTCTCTCATTTCTCCCTCAGCCCATCTGTAGAAAGCAGTTCTTCCCAGAATGCCTTTGGATGCTATAGCAGGTGGAACAAGCCAATGACAGACTCTGACTACCGTCTGGTGGTCTGAGCTACTTGCTTGTGCTCTCTTCCTACGTACCAATGCCAGCTCAACACAACCCACCCACAAGGGCTTAATGAGGAACTGCCGAAGCACGGTAAAATGAAACTGGTAGTTTACTCTAATCCCCAACCCTCCATTGGGATCATTGAAGAGCTATATACAAGCAACAGAAACCCTAGGCAAAGTCACACACAGCTGAATGTTGTCTACAGAGGTGGCACACGCCTCTCTTGAGTGCTATTCACATTTAGGGCCACTCTAAAGTTGTCAAAGCAATGCCTTTGCTTTCATGCTTCAGAGTCAAATAGATTTCTTGCTCTGCAAAGACCAGAAACAAGCCTCGTGTTCAATTATGTAAAAAAAAAAAATGTAGGAGACATTATATTAGGAAAAGGCAAAAAGAGTCACAGAGGACCCAGAGCATCTGGAGAAAGCTGCTCCGGTCTGTCCACACCGGCGGGGCCAAGTCTTGCTGCTGCTGCTGCTGCTGCTGTCTGGTCTGCAAAGAAGCAGGTGGTTCATAAGAAGCCTTTTCCTGTGTTTCATTTGCTTGCAACAAAAGCCCTAAAGCTCTGAGTTTGGACTGGTGTTCCCATGACTAAGCCACCTAATCCATTTGCCTTTGAGATGCAGGTTCAAATGAGGGTCACTCCAAAGTCAAATAAACGCTTCCCAGGATGTCCATGAGGTGACTGGCCTTGGGGGTGTTCAGCCTCAGAGGGACCCTGTGCAGTGGTGCCAAGGAAAATTCTACTCAGTGCTGTCCAAAGCTCACAAGCCTCGGTGAACGTGCGGGTGGGGCTACAGTCAGCTCCTTCTGGGATTAATTGGCTGGGTGACTGGGACGGTGTATGGGTCAGCTGTGCTGGAATGCAGGGTACTTGGTGTCCAGCATCACTGCTACCAAATGACATTTCCCAGGCTGGCCAGCATTTCTTCCTGGTCGTTTATCCCAGAGGAAGCAGCAGCCTCCGATCCAGGTGTGCCCCACAGAGCCTCAGACGCAGGTATATATAGCAGCGTCATTAAAATGGCAGAGCCACAGAGCAACATTGCCCAAACTCTCCAAAAATGAGGCTTGGATGGGAAGTGGTTAGGTGTCCCATTTGGGGGTCAGCAGACTTGGAACCCAACACCTGATAATCACTAACACTGTGCATCCACCGTGCTCTGGACACTGTTCTAAGTGCTCTATGTTTGTGGCACATTGGCGACCACAGCTCACCCCGCCCAACATGCTCCTCTTACAGAGCATGGCCGTGAGTGGCGGGATGCATGATCTTTCCCCTTAAAGCAGAATGATCCTCACGGCTGCTTCAGCCAGCAGCATATGGCAGGAGCGGCGTCCCGTGTCTTCCAAAGCTGGCTCATAAAAGGGTAAACACCTCCCATGCAGCTCTTTTGCAACACTGGCTCTTGGGACGCGGTCCCCACGCTGGGAGGGAAGTCAGGCCACCTGGAGAGGCCAAGGGCAGGTGTTCCAAGCGACAGTGCCGGCTGAGGTCAGGCGGTCCCGCCCCGGCCACATCTCGCTGCAGCTGCGTGAGGGGCCCTGGACACGAGCTGCCCTGCTGAGCCCAGTCGGGCACTGCTGGCCCCTGGAGTGATGGTAATAATAAAATGAACGTTGTTGTTTTTATGCCACTAACTTTGTAGTTCTTATGCAGTAATAGATCACTGGAATACCTGCACAAACTTATTTAGTCTTCATAAAAACCCAATGAAATAGGGATTATCGTCCCTACCTTACAGATGAGGAAAAACTAGGGCATCGAGTGGTTAAGTAATTTGCCCAAGGGAAGTGGCACCGACATTTGGTTTCAAACCCAAACAATCTGGTTTGTCAGAGTTTACGCTCTTAACCTCTATTCTACTCTGCTTCTTGGAAGCCTCTCTTACCTACAAAAAAAAAATCACTGAGAGCGAAGAAAAGTTAAAAGTAGTTGCTAGCGGGGGGGTGGGAAAGGTCCCGTCCTCGGGCCCACAGCGCGCATCATCGACGCCAGCACTTGCCGTCAGCTCCCAGCCCTTCCTGGGCAAGCACCAACCTCTGGGAAACTCGCACCGATTCCTCCCAACATCTGCAATGCCAGCGGCTGGTGCAGGTGGCCCAGGAGAAGCCATTTCTGTCACTTCACTATGGTTTGCCTCCTCTCCCTTACCTGGGAGATTTACTTACCCTACCCGAGCACAGAGAACGCCGATTTCTCTACGGTGCTTTAACAGATTAATAAACTTTTTTGTAAAATTTCAAACCTAAAGACAGAAATTGTGTGACTACTCAGCACAATTGCACCACGGCCGGCTGGGAGGCCCGGCCGTGGCCCTCTGAACTTCCGACGGGAGAAGGACAGGTGGTTTGGCTGCGCCCCCTGAGAGGACTCAGATCCAACCTGGACACGTGGCACATGCCGTCTGCGCCAACCTGCCAAGAGCCCGGATGTCCTGATGACATCATATGTTGTGACTTAGTCCTTCGGAACGCTGGAGTCGCCATGGTAACAACAGGCCTCCTGGGCTGAGGACACCAGGGAGGGGAGCAAGGCGCATGGAAGCCACGTCTAAGTGTGAGCGAAACCCAGAGCCGGCCTACAGCGCAGGGAGGCCAGCGGCAAGCAGAGCAGGCCAAGGTACCAGCAGCCTGGCTTTCCGAAGAATGATAACTTATTTCTGACCTCAGACGTTGCAGAAATTACTCTCCAGACGGTTCATTTTTAACATCTGTCTGATCACCCTTCAGCTTCACAGTGGATTTCACAGCCCTGTCAGGAAACTCTAGCAGTGTTAAAAAGACATTAAATTACTGAATCTCAGACAGGCAACTTCAAATTAAAACAATTTGTGTGAAAATGAAAACCCAGGTAAGTTACTGCATTCCTTCTAACTCATTGTAGACCCTTCTAGCCCCTTCTGATGCGTGAGATTGACCCAGCTCAGCCTGAAGAGGCCCTCCCGCTCCTGCACAACCCCCTTCTCCACACCCCTGCATTCCCGCCCTCCCACTCCCAGGCATTCTAGGGTTCATACCACACGTGTGCCTCAGTTTATGTTAAGGAGCATTTCTTAAAGATTGTCTATCAGATTTTGTAAGCTAAGTTATATTCCCCTCTTTATGTGTTTCATGTTTCCAAAGTCTTTACCTTTTTATCTTATATTCTTCAAATAGCTGTGTTCTCCTCCCTCCCAACACTTAAATTCCAATTGTCTCTAGGCTTTTCTTTCTCCTTCCACTACCGTCTCTTCCAGTCATCTTCAGATATTTAGAATGCATAAATCCTGGGGGTGGGGGTGGGGGGCAGCTTTGTGATCGCCAGTCTCCTAATAGACGGTTCTGAATGTCTGGAAGTTTTCTGACCACTGAGAAGGCCTATAAATGTCCCCAGGGCAAATGTCATGCAGCCCACTGTGATACAGACTAAAATTTAATCCAAGAATTAAAGCATATTCTTCTAGAAGCAGTTTGCCTTTCTAATGACTCTATCTTTAGGGCATGATGCGGCAGCCACAGCTCGACCGTTTCAGGTCATTGAAATCCCCTGAGGAACATTCAGAGAGCACAGGCGCTGTCTGCGTCTCCTCCACACCGCACTTCCAGTGATGGCAACTGGCACCTGCAAACCCCTCTGACACATGCGCGAGCTGTGCGACTGCTCTGCCCTGGCTAGCTGAGATGCTGGTCCCTGGGAAGGCTGCCTCACATGGCCACGGTATTTAGTAGAACCCACTTCTAACCACACCCTCAGGTCACGGTTGCTGGAGCACGGAGGCCCTTGCTAAAGTCCATCAAACTGTCACCACAAAACAAAAAAGACCCCCCCAATAGCCTTGCTATTGCATAGAGCTCTGCTGCCTTTAGAATTACCTTTCCCAAGTCTCTCCAAACATAAAATGCAGATTGTCTAAATCAAATTATTTCTTCATAATTGTGTTCCTTAACTTTGAAATTGGAAATGGCCAAGATTTCCCCCAAACCAGAAGAAGATTATTCCATGAAAAGAACACTGGTGTGTTATAGTCACACTATTCAGGGATAAAAAGAAATAAACTCTTGATATACAGACAATCTAGATGAATCTTGATAAATCTCCATAGCATTACACTGATGGGAAGCAGCCAATCCCAAAAGGTTATATACTGTGTGATTCCACTCATCCAACACAAAATGGCAGAATTATGGAAATGAAGAACAGGTAAGAGTGGTTGCCAATGGCTACAGAGTGGATTGGACAGGAGGAGAGTGCATATGGCTATAATAAAAAGCAACATGAGGCATCCTTGTGGCGACGGGAATGTTCTGTATCTTGATGATGTCAATTTCTAGGCTGTGACACCGTACTGTAGTTTGAAAGATCATTTGGGGAAACTGAGTAAAGGGTACAAGGGATCTTTGTATTATTTCTTACGACTACATATAAAACAATCTCAAAATAAAAAGTTCAATCTAAAAAGCATTGTATTGAGACTGACAAGGCCAGGCTCTAGGTCAGGCCCTTCCAATGACAAGCCTGAGCCAAGTCCCTCAACCTCTGCCAGCCTCACTTTCACCATCTGTAAAATGGAGCTGGACAGGATCCTCCCCAAAGTCCTGATGAATTCTACAACTGAGCAATGTCAGAGATGTTCTTGGTCCACAATAGTCTTTGTTGTTTGTTTGTTTGTTTGTTTGTTTGTTTGAGACAGAGTGTCACTTTGTTGCCCAGGCTAGAGTGAGTGCCGTGGCGTCAGCCTAGCTCACAGCAACCTCAAACTCCTGGACTCAAGTGATCCTCCTGCCTCAGCCTCCCAAGTAGCTGGGACTACAGGCGTGCGCCATCATGCCCAGCTAATTTTTTCTATATATTTTTAGTTGTCAAGCTAATTTCTTTCTATTTTTAGTAGAGATAGGGTCTGGCTCTTTCTCAGGCTGGTATCCAACTCCTGAGCTTGAGCCATCCTCCCACCCTGGCCTCCCAGAGTGCTAGGATTATAGGTGTGAGCCACCATGCCCGGCCACAATAGTCTTTGAAACAGAGGGGCCCTCTGAAGAATCAGGCAAATATACACAATAATCCATAAATAATAACGATGTGCATAGTCTCTATAAACACCACTTTTAAAGATGCAAACCGAGCTTCTACTAAACATAGCATGCAGCGGCATGAACAAAGAAATAATTTGGAAGGAAAACAACTTGAAACAAATACTATGTCATCATTAAAGTCATAACTATTAAAAGAAAAAGAAATTTTCTGTTAAATAGTGTGATTAAACAGTATATTGTATTTACTATAAACCAAGAAAGCAAACCAGCATATCTGCCATTTTCTTGACACAATACACCAAATCACCCTCATTCCCTGGTCTCTGTTCATAGTTACACTATTCTTATTCTAAATGCACTACGCTGTGGGGAACCACAGCGCATAAAACAGGAAGTACTTTAATATAAACTACAATTTTAGAAGGGAAAAACCCAAGCAACTGATTGAGAAATGGAGACCTCAGTCAAATTGTTGTTTAATTTTCATGCTGTCAAATAACCAATCTGCTTTTGTTCACCAGATGAGCTGAACTGAGTAGTTTATTTAACATCAGAAGTATAATTGGTGCTAAAACATGAACAAACTGGGTAGTCCATTCTATCAAATTAGCAACCTTTACTATTTCCTGAAAAAAAGGAGATGTTTCCCAATGTACATTTGTCCTAAAACCAGTGCACATTGTTAAAAAAAAAAAAAGCCACATCAGGCCGGGCGTGGTGGCTCAAGCCTGTAAACCTAGCACTTTGGGAGGCCGAGGCAGGTAGATCGTCAAGGTCAGGAGTTCAAGACCAGCCTGAGCTAGAGCGAGACCCCGTCTCTACTAAAAATAGAAAGAAATTAATTGGCCAACTAAAAATATGTAGAAAAAATTAGCCAGGCATGGTGACACATGCCTGTAGTCCCAGCTACTCAGGAGGCTGAGGCAGGAGGATCGCTTGAGCCCAGGAGTGTGAGGTTGCTGTGAGCTAGGCTGACGCCACAGCACTCGAGCCCAGGAAACACAGTGAGACTCTGAATCAAAAAAATAAATAAATAAATAAGCCACATCAAACAAGCAGCAACAAAACAATATGTAGTCAGTGTTGACTGCAGCATCTGAGAAATGGAGAGGTTGTTTAGACTGATCGGTCAAGACAGAAAAGGATCCCATGCATGGATTGTCATAGCCTAATAGCTCAAACATATTATCACCACATCTACTAAAACTATGCACAATATAATTTATCCTTTTTTGACAACTTAGTAGCCTCTGTAAAATGTTGTGCTCGCTGAGAGGAAGCTAAGCATGACCTCATCTGGCTCTGCCCAGTGCTGAAATGCAAACCGTCTGGACAGATTGAATGGGACCTACTGTGATCTTGTGAAAAAAAAGGAGCCATTTTAACATTTTTAAAAATCCACACTATCAAATTATTAGTTCCACTTGTTTCTTCAATACACATTTCCAGGCAAAACAATGGCCCCTTTGACTTTCAGCAATTCTCATTTCTTCACCTAAAGTCAAGCAGGTGTTTCCTTAATGATTTTGTCTTCTATGCTAAAATCCCTTCTCCACTGTCCTCATTCATTTCTCAACTCATAAGCTTCTATCTTATCTTATATCCAGAAGCCTCACACACTAGTTTTGCAATATCATTGTTGTGTACCTCTTCAGCTTTCTATCATGTTCAATCCTTCCTCCACTTGCTATAACAATCAAAAAGTTTATCAACAAATATTCATATTGTTCCCATTTTGTGGAAGGCTCATTATTTTCAGTGCAATTATTATCTAAGTATGAAAGAATATACTTCAATGTTTCAAGAATTGATGTTTATTTATTGCTATAAGATTTACTCCAAAAAACATTCCAATGTTTTTTTCATCATGAGAAATTTTACAAAAATAATGTTAGGCAATGACAATGATTTTTTTTCTAGACCATCCTCAAGGTGCCATTCTTAACATAACTTCAGGTACAAGCAATAATATTAGAACTGTAAGCACAGCATTTTAATGACACTCACTTTTTTCCACCAGATATATCTAGCTTCCTGATACCACTTTAATACAGGAAAGTAGTTTTTAAAAAAATAAAATAAAATAAAAATCAAATGACTCACTTAATTGTACTTGCTTGTAAAAGTACTGTGAATTCATGAAGATCTTAAATCACAAAGGGGGGCTCTCTGCAGTGGGTTCAGCGAGAAGCACTCACAGAAAGCTTTATTGGCTGTGGGGTTTTAGGCATATGCCGAGAATCACAAAGCTTTATTCCTTTTTAGTAGCCAGAACAAATGATTTTTATAAAGTCTCCTCTTTAAATTGATTGAATCTCATATTATAAAGTACTTATTTCTTTTTTTATAGGAAGATCTGGCTACTCATCCAATGCTGGAAACACTCCCAAGAGCCAATACCGAATGTTCATCAGTCCTTCGTCTAAACAGGGAAGGAGACAGAAGTTAACGCAGGATGTCTCGAACCAGAATCACCCGAGGTATTTCCTACACCTCAGGGTAGGTATTTCCTACACCTCACCTGAGCGAATGCAATGTGGTTCTGCACAATTTTCAGGGGTTTTTGGTAAATATCAAGCACCTCTAATACTTGGTTGTAGGTGACGGTTATGAGTTTCCTTTCCACAACCCTCTTACAGCAAATATCAGACTGAATCTTGGTGCAACTCCAGCCTTTCTTAGCAAACATTCAACAGTCATGCCACTAGTTTGGCAAAACCCAACAGAGTTGTAGCTCCCAGTTCCTTAGGTTCTCTGACAGAATCCTCCACGGACAGTTCACCTGAGGCAACGAGCCACATTCTAGCAGCAGGATCCTAGACCCAGGAGACCAAGAAGTCTCCACATTAGCATTTGAACATAGGTCATTGAAGAACCAACCTCTGGTTGTTATTCCTAAGGATACAGGCTCCTAAGCTAGCTATACTTTTGTTCCCAAGAAGAATAGCAAGAGTCTTTATGATATTTTTGGAAAATCTACATATGATGAAAACAACTAATTTCAGCAAGAAATACCCAATTCTAAATTCATTAGTCAAATTACTCAAATTTCTGGTGTTATTGGGAGATAAAAATAATTGAATTTCTCTAGGTTGTGGCTTTTTGATTAAATGCTAGCTAACCACCCTAAAATGTATATTTCTGATTAAGGCAACTGGCCACAGCAAGGGTATAGATTCAAACAAACACACATGCATATGTTCATATCACGTATTGTATATTGAAGTATTTTAAAGTAAACTATCCAAGACCTGCTGGCTCTGAATATTTGGGCCTGAAAATTTGCATTTTTATGTAAGTTCCTCATTTGATGCTCATGTACACTAGAATTTTATGAACCACCTCCATAGCTGTTAAGAGCAAGGTCTTGGGGAAAAACAGACTTGTGTTAGAATCCTGGCTCTTCTACCCTATAGATATATACCCTTGGAAAATTATTTAAATACTGTGATTCAGTGTCCTCAGATATAAAATGGTCATCATAAGGTCTAGCTCACAGTATTAGTATAAGAGTTAACTTAGGTTATGTAAGTAAAGTCCCCATAATGCTTTGCACATATTATGACTTAAACTTATATGAAATACCATGAGTTTTTTCTTCCCTGGGGAACACGGATCCTAGATAATGCTCTGGTCTTTCTATGTTCCTTTCAATTGAAGTGTTCACCATTGAATGAACTATCCCAATGACCATCCCATTGAATGATCTGAGCAGGGAAGAGTAGAATGGAACTGCCATCTCCCTTGTTTTAGAAAGAACTTCTACAATATTAAGAATCACTACTTTGTTTGGAGTATTATATCAAATAATATTTTTGACTTTACCCTTAATTAAGCATTACATGAAGTATATCTTTACACGAGGCTGTTGCAAAGTAGTTTTACATATCCTGTACTTTAAAAACATTTGAAGACTGCATATATTTAATCATCTCATATGTATACGGAATATATCAGGAAACAAATACTCTTGGATTCTTGTCATATAAACCTATCTGATCTCGTCCAACTTCATATCACCATAAATGGATTAGTGGCTTCTTTCATATTTTAAAGTCTTTGGTTTTTACAACACTTTGAATCACAAAATGTTCCAACTGAGTTAAAGTTATCACCTTTATGAGGCTTGTCTTATGAGTGACTTCCGGTATCCATTGTTGTTATATGTCACCTAGTGGTCTCATTTTTTGTATAGGATATCATAAGCAACGTGTGTCAAATTTCCTTGATACAAGCAAATATATACCATATTCCATATCTAAACATCTGTCTCTTTACTTGGTCTATGTCTGCCTTGTTTTGTATAATTATGTTAGATGATTATATTTTTTATTGTAAATATGGGACTAAAATTCTTTGTTGGTTTATTTGATGTGTTTAGCTGATGTACAGCAACCATCTAACTTAGTTGTTGTCTATGTGTTTTGGTTTCTGTCCTGTTCGGACATAGCTGTATTATATGTCATTGTTCTGATATTAGCATAATTGTATTACTGCCGCTGTTCAAGTATGTAGTGATGGCACATTGTGTTTTGTTATATGTCATCTCTGCTTGGATATGATAATAGACTTTAATTTAGATTTATGTCTTTCTTATTTTAGAGTTTGTGTCACATTGATATGTTACTCAATTCCCATATGCATTTGTGTTTCTTTATGTGTGCATCTAGTGATATGATTTGTGAGTTTTCTTAGCACCACAGAATATAATTCATTCCGTGCATAAAGATTTAATTCATTTACAGCAAGAAAAGTGTACATATTATATTATAATGTTATCCAGATCTCTATGATCTACGTGCAAACTTATATTATCCCTCTCAAACTGAATATTTTGAAGAGATAAGCCATGAAATTAAATGAATTTAAGCGCTCCCTCATAGCAGATTTTATAAATTTCACAGAGGACAATGTGTAGAGCCCTAAATATATCCATCACCAGTGCAGTAGCACATTGTGGCTTAGATATGGAAAAATTTGACAGTCTGTTGAGAGGTCTTGAGACAAAGGAATTCTTTCTCATGAAATAGTCCTCCTTTGTGGATCTCGAACGCGAACAAGTAAAATCATTGTGCAATTATGTGAAACTATCCTCGCGTCCATCTTGTTCGAAATATCTGCTAGAAACACAGAACCTTTGGCGCAAAGAAGTGTTTTTTTGCAAAAGTAACTTAAACATAGGCTGTTTACGCTCACATTCATTTTTAATTGGTTGGCGGTATGCTCTTATAAATCCAATTGCGAATAGTCATTGGAAGCATTTCGCCTGATAGAAAAAGGAGCAAATGCTCAAAATATAGAAGCTACTCGATTCTACCCTTTACGATGTAGTTGTTCTCTAACAAGTGTTTTACTAAATGTGCACTATTGTAGTAATAAAATTTTCAGCAAAAAATTAATTAGAAATTAAGTTTACTGTGGTTAGCTTGTTAAAATTTAGATTCGTAGTACACAACTATCATCTCTGCACACATTGTCTAGATACACACATTCTGAAAGGTATAAACACAATGAAGATAACTCCTGAACCCAAAGCAATGGTGTAATATTTTGTAGGGCCCTGGAGAAGACCAGCTCAGTGTGATCGTTGGTGGATTGTGTAGTGTGTTGAATTCCTTTGTTACTGGGTTGATGTATAGTTGGCGCAGACTCGTCGCTTTTTTGGTTGTAGAAGAAATCTTAAATATTACCTCGATCCTTCAACCTCAATAAGGCGTCCTCACATATCAAAGCCACATTTATAAGCCGATTCCGCAGACTTCACCAAAAGGCCCAAAGAAAAAGCTGTATTGATAGCTACTCTTAACAGTAGGTTATCCACACTCGTAGTATCATATTGTTTTTATCTCCCTACTCTTTAGCCCTGCTCTTATTGACTGCTTCAAGTTATTTCGCACTTCCGTATTTCCACCTGAAAATGAAACTATAAGTATTTGTGAAAGAAGACGCTAGCTAGACAACGCAAAGTAAAAGTTATGCATGAGAAGAATATAGTTTGGTCTATACCAAATACCTGGACACTAAGGAACACTCGAACGTGCTCTTCGCTTGGCCTTCTCGCCAGGATCTTTAACTGGGTGGGCTGATACCCGTAGGTTAACTAGTTATCCGGTAAAGGCACTCTGGGGGAGGCCGCGAATTTCATTTTTTGCAGTTGGGACTTAGTGATGTGCTTCGTAATGTTGGATTTAACATGCCAGAGGGCAAAACCATGTCCTGTAGCGTCTATAGACGTGAGGACCACATCTCTCTTGTCCTAATATACATGTATGAAGGGAAGACAAATTAATCCGTGGAAACAAACAAAAACAAATAGCATATAACAGCAAATAATTAACAATATGTATTCTTAACTTATATATTTACAGTAGGTTTTATTGAAAAATAATAAATATTATTTCTTCCCACATTTCATTTTTATTTAGAAATTTTTGGATTTTCCCTCATAATACACCATGAAAACATTTCCCCATCAGGTCAACAAGTACTGGGCAAAACAAATGTGAAATAAGAAGGCGAATAAATAATACAAGTGTTCTGAACAGATCGCATAAGCGGGACAGCACTCAACTTAGGAAGTATACAATACTATTACATAATCTTACTTTCATTTGTTGGTTTTATCTATGCACTTCACCTGTTGTCGGTAAGTGGGATTCGCCAATTGTCTCTTTAGTCCCAGCCTATACTTTAGCAGAGAGGCATCAGGGCAGGGAGGGATTTGCTCCTTCGATCTCAGTGAGTTTTGAAAGTTGCTCAGTGAGGAGGGCTTTTACTGGTTGCGCTGTATCGCATTACGCACTGTAGCTCCACCCGTGTGGCATGATTCACAGAGTGTAAGGATTTCTTGTCTGTCTCTCATCTAAAGATATAATAATATAATATGAGGCCAGAGCCCAGGTAGCACATTTTAAAGAATGAAAACTATTAGGGAACTGATATATGTTTAATTGAAAGATTCTTATGCTATAGTTAGGCAAAAAGCCTTTTGCCAGATATATATTGCTGTATTATTATTATTTATTTCTTTTTACTTGGAAGTGCTTAGCCAAGAGCAGTATATAGGTAAAATTTTCACTATGAATAATGGCGCTATTGATGATATATTCAATATTTATTGGCGGTAATATATATAAGATTAATCCAAGAAAAAGGGTCATCATACGTTGTACGTAAAACCCACTCGTTTATTTATTATTACAAAAAAAAACTGGTTAAAGAGCATAAAACTAAAATTTCATGATTTCCTTAAGTATTTTGTCTGAAAATCTTGTTGTCAACCTGTTGCAATGTTGTGTGTGTGTGCACGGTTGTGTGTGTTTATGTTTTGAATTAGTGTATATGGGGGTACAGTGTTAAGGTCTACTTAATTAATTGCATGCCCCTTCCTCCTGGTCGATAAGAGCTTCACGCTAATGTCGCATCCCCCAAAGTTGCACATCTTATCATGTGGTGTTATATACCATCCCTCCTTCCCCACTTCCCACCCATTCCACACC